TATTCTTTCTCCATAGTATAGTTGATGTATCACAACTAAACAACTTCCTATCACCTCCAGGCTGTTCCCAAGTTCCTTTGAGTTGTAAATCTTCACTTACAAACTGTTTTAGAGACTCATAAGTACCTGACCATTAAATGCATAGCTTATCGCTTAAGCTGGTTGCCATATTGTTCATTGTACAAATGAATAAACAACTTTCAATCGCTAATAATCGTCAGGATAGTCTTTCATATAATTTTTCATCCATTCAAGTGTGTTGTATTGGATTGTATTACAAAAATTTTGAAATTTTAGAGAGCTCAACAAAGCACGTCTGCTCACGAATCTATACCATTGTAAAGCTTGGGCCGAGGACGGTCTTCGTTTCCAGCTTGAGCGTTCGACAAACTCTCGACTACCCTTGCGCTCTGGCTCGCGACGTTCTTCCCGCAATTCAATCTCCCTTTTCAAAGGCTCTAGTAAATTCTTTACATCCCACTCATGGAAGTCCTTTTCCCTTGTGATGATTAACCGCACAGACTCGGGTAAACAATCCAATATATGAGGCGCAACGATCGACGAATACGTATTTTTCTCGATACACAGCGCCTCTAAACCCCTGTAGTGTGTCTCAACACGATCACATAAACGTCGCAGTGACACCAGATCTTTCTCATCCTTAACACGCTCGGCTTTTATCAACTGCTGCATATGTGCACGTTGTACGGCTGACTTTTTCCCGTAACGTTCCTTTAAAATATCAACAGCCGACTTGTAATTCGCCGCAGTCAACGAAAATCCGGCGATACATGACTTTGCTGGCTCTTCTAAAAGCCCTCGAACATAGTTAAATTTATCTACGTCAGATAAACCGTCATTCAAATGTACTGAACTCTCGAACGAGTCCCAAAACTCTTGCCATTTGCACACGTTCTCTTTAAATCTTTTAACTTCCAATTTCGGTAACTTGGCTCGAACTTTACTCGCAGTCGTTACCGACTCATTCGACGTTGACCCAGCACTTGATTCCACAACGGAGGTAACATTATTCTCACACAATTTTTCGTCAAGCTTTTTCACAATCTTTCTAGCGTCCGCTCTCAATTTTCCTGCATCCTCGATCTCTTTCATAATATCCTCTTCGGTCGAATCCTTGTCGCTCGCAATTAGCTCAACAATTTCATCATCGAGTCTCTGTATGTTTGTTACAGCGTCAACTATGCCTTCCCTAAGCTTAGAAGCTTCAATTCGAAGTTCCTCGTTGAAGTTCTCTAACATCCCTGTAGCTTGAGCGAGTATCTTGGTTAAATAACCACGATGACCTCCTCGTATCTTTCTCGGTTTCGCTAAATCTGCCATAATTTCACTTTATTATCAACAGTTTACTCGCTTTATCCGGCTCGAAGGACCACTTGTCGCAGAATTCGCTGGCTTCGTTTAACGAATATTTCTGCACGGCTGGTTCAACACTCACTTTTCGTTTTCCAAAGTTTATTTCAAATAAACCTTGTAAAACGAAAAGTGAGTGAATTATTTCACACAAATACTATACGTTAATTACAACAATCCGGTCTTTTAATTTACGACCTCTAACCATTCTCACTAAATTAGCGTTCGTCACAACATTTTATAACTTCGGACCGGAACCCGTACCTATATATTTTCATCATGCAATACATACAATAATGTTATTAGCATACTTTGGCTTGAATTCAGCTTATCTATAACGAACTTACAATATAATTATCTTTGACATACATGCGTCACACAACTAATTGAAATAAGAATAAGTGTTATTAGTATAATTTTGCAAGACACAGTTTCAACATATTTACAGCACAAATATATTATAATAAAATTAAAGTTATAAATCCGACAGTCGTGTTTTCAGTCAAAAGCATAGGAAAAACACCGTTCGAAAATAGAAAAATAAATATTTTTGCAAAGTTGCTCCACCGATCTTCATTTTGGGTCTCAAATTTGAAAGATAAATGGTAAATGGTTATTTTTTTGTAAAAAGATATATGTTTATAGGCTAAATACAAAGAAAAAACAGTATAAACTTTGTACTGCATGGCCATATTTTACAATCTCGGTGCTTGTCATGTTCTGCCAAGAAGCAGATTCCTATTTCGCTAAATTAATAGCCAAACGTATTGGTTTCCTGTCTTTTACATTAATAAGAAAGCATGGGTGCTGATTTGAAACACTTCCATAAGGTTCCATGTAGCTTTGGGAATTGTGAGCAAAAATTAAAAGTTAAACTACCTATGTTTTTAAGCACATTCACCAATGTATTCTCCAAAGAAACATTTCTTTACGGATTGTTAATCCGCCTGTACTACTTATGCCTTCAAAGGTTAGAGGTCTTGAACATGCAGAATAGCAGACTGTCATTGACATCCCTTGTCACAAAATTATGATGGCATAATTGGCATAATGTTGGATAAGGCACTTCCTTAATAAATAGCTTGACACATAATTTAATGCATTCATGCAGTCTAAGTTTTGTTCAATTTCATTTGTTTTGTAGTCGGTATCTTCGACTGCTTGGATTAGTGTGGGCTTGTCTGATCATTTCCTGCAGATAAATCAGATTGGCTAGAGTGAAATGTAATCAAGTAGGCATCAGAATCTTCAGCACAGTTGTCAATTGAAAGCGGTGTCAAAATGTTATCTACAAATGATTTGCAAAATGCTCTGGTGATCTGGATGGGACTAATGGGTTGTCACAATTCCCCCCCCCCCTGCTGCCTAATGAGTGCAGAGAAGTTCTCCAGAGTATCTTGGTTGAGACGTCTTGTCATGAGAAACTCCAAGTAATGATGTTGGTTAAGGTCTTGTAATGTAAATATTACAGTGTAATTACACTGACAATGTAATTACTACAGTAAAATGTAAATACTACAGTGTAATTGGGATTTAAAAATACAAAGTTTATTTTAATAAATGTTGTTTATTTATTTCACATTATATACATTTAAGAACTTAAATTATTCAAAAACTAAATAAATATGTGTTGAAATAATGTCTAATAACTCACTCCAAAATAGGCAATAACTGTTTTCTTTGTAGTTGACCCCACATATTGTCATGAAAATTAATACTAAATAAACAATAGGTACGCTAAGCGTATATGTATCTGCTCATGGTGATTGCACTTTTGCTAAGGCTTTTGCTAAGGCAATCAACACTCAGTAGCTTGTAAAAAAATTTAAGGGACTGATGTTTAACAGTTGACCAGTAAATAAAGTTAGATTTATAGTATGTCAGATGAAAGAAAAATAAAATGGCTGATATATATTCAACTTGCAGAAACTAATTCCGGCCATAACGTCACAAAGATGATATTCAATTTTATGATGTTCTTGTTGAATTATCTTAATTTTATAATGTTCTTGCAGGGATAGATCCAGCATGATCTGATGGGGCGGGGACTCTGCCCGCTCTGGTGCCGAGTTGTGTCGGTCATGTGTGCCACCCACCCATCAACTTGCTTCACTATTGCAAAGTCTTGCTTGACTACAGTATTTGAATTGTAATTGTTGTTCACAGTTTGCCTATCATCGTATTATTACTCAAATTACTGTATCTCATTTTGTTTCTAATAATTTTTTGTTTATCATGAAAAATAGGACCCCTTCCTGCACCCCCTCTGGCCAGGGCTAGGGGGGCGGGTGCACCCCCCCCCACATCCTCCCCCCCCCAGTAAATCCATCTCTGTGTTCTTGTTAAAACATTTCGGGTTCCAAATCTTCTTGATAGTTCATAATAAACTTTAGCAGGCATGCGAGAACATGGTAGATGCATAGAAGTTGTCAGGATAACAGGTGGTGCCAATATACATTGTTGTTCATTGTTGGGGCTTTTCAGTGACAAAAATTACAAACACATAAACTTACTGTATTATTACAAAATTAGTCCTAATTAATTTTATTGAAACAGATTACTAGCAAACAAGGAAAATATCACAAAAACTGTGACAGAGACATCAACATCAACAACAACAACAACAACAACAACAACAACAACAACAACAACAACAACAACAACAACAACAACAACAACAACAACAACAACAACAACAACAACAACAACAACAACAACAACAACAACAACAACAACAACAACAACAACAACTACAACAACAACAACAGCAACAACAACAACAACAACAACAACAACAACAACAACAGCGATGATAACACACCAACAGTAGCAACGACAACGCTTATTGATCAACTACTGAAAAACAAGTACTTAATAACTATCCAGGAATTGCTGGAGAAGTTTATGTCTTAGTTTTAACTTTACATTTTGCAGAGTTTTGGAAGCCTTCTTATACCATAATTGATACATAACATCAACATTTCTGCTGTTTATAATTGTTTTTAAATATATTCTATTTCCTTTTAGAAAATGTCATAGTCAGGGTTGATGGCACACAAATCAACTGTTTATGCCTAGTAAATATATCAAATAGGTCATATATTGAAAGTCATTCATCAGCAACAAATGATGACAAGTATGGAAATTAGAAGTATAATTGATGCATATAGTTCTTGAATAGAATGATACAATTCAGCATAACAGATCCATGCAATAATATTTTGTCGTGGAAGAAAATCCACTAAACAGAATATTATGTTAATTTTGTACATTGTGTGCTATATTAAATAAGATCCCATTATGACATATGGTTGTTGTTGATTATAAGACAATATAGTATGGGATAGGTGAAGGGGGATATAAATTGCTTAACTGGTGTTCTTGGCAATGACATTCGGTTGCAGAAATCAGGGTCAATGAAGAAGGGAGGACCCCGTCCAGGATATATAGTTAATAATTATGACTGGTTGCAACTGTTACTATAAGTATTGATATTCCAATCTAAATTGAATCTCTGCTCTTTATGCAGCCACTATTACTTTGCCTTGCTTTAATGAAAGCAATTATTCAATGCACATACTGCTAAAAAGTGCTTTAATTAAGAGAAATGTTTCCAATATGTGTGACTTAGCTTCTGACTCTGCTAAATTTGTATAAAAATGATCTATCAAAATCTGTAATGAAAACAGACACCAATTGTCTATAGTTATAATCATTGATAAAGAAATTATGTAACCTTACGAAATTATATAACCTTCTATCGGTTTCATTCAACTAATTTATATTAACTAAATCACCAATGAAAATGTTAAATTGAGAAGTACATAAACACCAACATCATCACTTACAACTCGATATACACCAACAACGGCAACATGTGGAAGAATCATTACTTTCATAATTTCATAATAGTATTCTCAATGCCATTAGTCAATAATTTTCTTGTCCAAAATTGCAAATCATTTCGTTTCCACTGCGTATTAAGTGATGAAACCTTTCAAATGCTTGCCAAAAATGCACTAGCGACATTTGCCATATTCAGACTAGTAAAATGACGTTCTTTCAAACTGCATTTGATTTCGTAAATTCACAAATTGCCTTTTGTTTCACACTTTAGTAAGCCGCCATTTTGAAATTAGTATCATTACGTCATTTCATCTATAAGTTGTCGTTGATTGGCTATGAGCACGCTTACAAATTTCCGGTACGCGCACGATGGCAATATATCTGCTTCGCAGATACAAAAATAGGTACGCAGTGCGTACATGTTGCATGCTATCAAAAGCTAGCGTGAAAACAGACCTACGTTCTGCCCGCCCTAAAATTCGCAGGTAAACGGAGCCGTTAGACTTGCTCCAAGTCTCTCTTTCCTTGTCATATAGTATCAATCCACTATAGTGTACATTACATGACGTACTACGGAGGGGCGGAGGAAGAAAGAGAGACCTGTCAACTTCGGAAAATCTCGGTTGAAAACTGAGCAGAAAATGCAAGACTTGCTTTAATTGTTTTACTTCAATTTCTTTCTGTATTATTTACTATAATGGAACTCATGTTATTTACACTGTGCTAGATCAATACATATAAACACTGACAGAAAACAATTAAAACAAGTCTTGCATTTTCGGTTCAGTTTTGAACCGAGAATTTCCGAAGTTAACAAGTCTCTCATTCTCGCTCCGCCTCTCAGTGCTACGTCATGTAATGTACACCATAGTGGATCGATATGACAATGAAAGAGAGACTTGGAGCAAGTCTACGTATCCGCCGACCCGCAAATTTTAGGGTGGGCGAAACGTAGGTCTGTTTTCATGCTAATCAAAACCATGAAACGTTATGACACAGAATACTATACAGAAGTCTATTTCCATTGGGTTTTTTTTGCGTAAGCGCTATTGGTCATGATTGATGATTTGTCACTCAGCAAGTACCGTAAACAGAAGCAGTCGCCCCCCTCCCCCAGAGGTCGC